AAAGAGCCCACTGAGCTGATGTGCAGATTTTGTGTGTGCTTTTGTTGTTGTTGTTGTTGATTTTATTTGTTTATTAGAGATATTCAGAAATAAAGAAAATGGATCAAGTCTACTATTTAGGGCTCTCAGATTGCTTTCTTCTCTAAGGTATGTACTGAGTTGGTGAGACACTAGCACAGTTGCAGGTAAGGTGTGACACAGATCAAAGAATAGATTCTGCTGATGTATTCTAGCTGAAGCTGTGGGGTCAGATGAGGTGCTTTTGTCCTGTACTCACAGCTGGAAGCTCACAGATATATCCTGTAGTGATACAGGGTGTTGTTCAAGAGAGTCAAGTGAGCTACTGGCCCCTATTGGATAAATGTGGATACCAGGTTTTACATTAATGTTGTCCTGCTTTACAACTAAGATAGCTTTGCTACAGCCTTTAGCGAATTGGTTGCTACAGCACATCCCTACTCCTGCTTGAGAGAAGCTGGTTTCCATCCTTTACCTCCCTTGCTGCCATGAAGAAGGTGTATGGGGTGAACAGGGATTTCGAATGCTGAGTAATTCAATTATATTGTCATATTTGACTTCTCCTGTTTGTCTCCTTTATTATTTTTAATACATTAAGAGCTGTGCATAAGGGGGTGGAAGTTACTCACACAAGATGTCAAAGGCAGAAAATATAAAATTAAGCTTGAGAACGGTTTCTTATTTCATCGTTATCCATAAAATCTGGTTTCCTCAGGTGAGTGATGGGCTGATGTTTTTCAGCCATGTTTTCTTTGAAAAAGAACACATTTTCCTTCCTAAGGTCTTTTAAGGAGTGTTAACAAAAAAAAAAAAAAAAGCTGTTAGGTTGATATAGCATTTTATCTATACTAGAACTTAATTTTCAGTAGCACAGTTTTAATAAATCATAACATATTCTTTGTTCTTATCTGAAATACTGTTGCTGTTGTCCTACAATTAGGCCAGGAATTACTGGCTGGCTGAAGCCACTGAATGCTGGTTCTGGTTTCCTGTTACTGTGTTGTGTGTTACTTTGGACAAAACCACTTGAAAAGTGTCTCCTTTAGTCAGTCATGAACAGATAGGTGACAGCAATTCTTGATCATAACATTTGTTTTGGGATGGGATGAATTGCCCTCTGGAGATGTCTGTTTCTCACTGTTGATTTTAAGGAGAGCCTAGAGGGCTTGCTTAGCTGATTGATGTAACTTCAGGTAGACAGAGCAAGAAAAATCAGACCTCTCTGTTTACTTTTCATCATAAAGAACTTGGGATTTGATGTGTTAAATGCTGAAGAGCTGCTTTCAGGTATAACTAAGGATTTGTCCCTTTATTTGTAGAGTAAATATTTTAAAATAAGTGCCAGATTGGATCTTTAAAAGAAAATAAGTTATATTCGGTTATTTTGCCTGGTTAAAGATGAGATTCATACATTGGTACCAACTTTGTGCCTCTAGGTGGGAGCCAGCAAGTGAGGTGACTTTCTATCTTGCAAATTATGTCTAGGTGTGTTAAAATACACATTTAATTCTGAAGGAAGATGCGGACAGGCAGGCTGTTGTTACTGCTTTAGATGACGTGTACTCCAACTGTATTGAATGATCAAAATTAAAGTGACATTTTGGGCATCCTTATCGCTGTGTATGATGATTTACTCTCAAGAGACTACATTGTTAAAGAGAGAAGTTGTTATCTGTCTTCTACTCGGTGCTAATAAATAATAAGGGGGCTCATTTTTGTTATGGATCAACTAACCATCTGCAGACAGTCAGCGTTACTCTTATAATTGTCACTGTAGCATAAACATGTTAGGGAACTGTATATAACGCAAGATAGATGCTCAGCCAGTGCTGATGATAGTTCATGCTGATATAGCTTTAGGATGCCAGATCCATCTTGTCATTGTGAGAAATTGCTATTTGCTTTAGGGCAGAGAGCAGATAAGAAAATCAAAGTTTGAGATGCTATTTTAAAAGAGTAGTACTTCCAAATGTATTTGCAATTTACATTTTCTAATTCACAAACAATAGAAATACAGAGACTATTTTTGCAATTTTTTTTTTTAAAGGAAGATCAAGTGATTATGAAGGTACTTTTAATTTTCCTTTATTGCTCAGCAGGAAAATCATCAACAATTCTGAGTGAAAGTAAATATTGAAATGCTGCAGTTTTCTTTTAAAGAAACAGTCAAATATTTACTATTGTATATAGTGCCCTGTTTTTCATTACTTGCCAAAATACCTCATTACTGAATGGTTCAATCATACATTTGTGTGATTTTGTGTTAGGGTAAGCAGTTTAAACATTGTACTATTGAAATAGTAGTTGAAGGCTAATATAAATGGATTTTAAAATGGATCAAATAGACTAGCTGGCTGTCTGCTAGTGCTAGTCTGACTCAAGAATGGTGCTGATTTGCTAATGGAGCTTATAATAATAATAATTCTGTTTCTTTACAAGAGAGTAGACACACCACCACCTTTTCTTCTTAATGAGTTCACTTTACTATGAACATCTAGTGGCAATGTAACCTGTAATGACTTTATTACAATTAACTATCTTTTGATCTTGTTCACCATGTTCCTGAAGAAACACTTGGACAAGTCATTGCTATTTTTACATGCAAAAGTTTTAAAGCAAGAATGTGGGGCCATTTTACTGTTGGACATTTAAATTCAGAGGTAATTGTTAAAATTAATTTAGGACTGATTGTATAGAATGGACACTGTTATGAAGAGCTCTAGGAAGGATATGGCAGCTCTAAATGAGGTTAGAATGAACACTTGTTAGCTGTTACGCCGTTTGTAGCTCTGTTAAATGCAAATGATGTCGATCAGATGGGTAAGGTCCTTGCGTTGGTCCATTAATTCTGTTTGGTGTTTGATTCTGAGAGAGAAATGTGTTCACCCATGTTATTTTTATCAATTGTAATAGTATTTGATACTCAGAAACAGCTTGGATCTTCCAGCCGCTTAACTTCTAGCACTATGCTGATATGCCTAAACTAAGGACATTGTTGTCTCAGGCTCCCGAAGTAGTCACAGGAGATAAGCATGCTCCAAAACCTGTTTGTTCCTTTGAAAATCTGAGTTGCTATCAGAAAGTGCTTGTCCCTAATGATTGTAAAGGGAACTTACTGTTATTGTGTGCACCTTACCTTTGGTACCTTGGTTAAGTGTGGTGCATCTGAACCTCAGCACTGTAGAATTTGTAGTGAATGATAACCCCTTCTCTAAATGTAATCTGAAAATCAATGGAAATACATAATATTTACCAGAGCTTTATGGAGATGCTAGGAGATTTTGCAGAGTAGCTTTGAAGTGTGGTTTAAACTTGCAGTAAATCTAATAAAGATTGTATACCAATATAGCAAAGATTCTGCACCCAAAGGTATTTGCAGGAAGCCATTATGGATCTTGTAGCTGAAACTGTGTATGTGTCTACCACTGAGAGTAAAATACTGATTTAGATAGATATGACATTTATTTTGTGCAGGGACAAATAATAGGTTAAGATGGAAGGCTGAATGTCTTGCTCTTTATAGTAGCTGAGACCATGGATGCCCTGATGCATCGAAGTCATCATGACATAGCCACAATGACTAAAAAGATATTAAATGATGCTGAAGAAGATATTAAAGAAATTGGTTTCAAAGATTCTCCAAGCATGATGAAGGCAGTGTCTCATTTATGTATTTGTAAATTTAAATAATGTACAGTTCACTGAAAGCAGAACAATCCCCTAATTTGTCTAAGAAGACTCGGAGTGTGGAGGGTTGGTATCAGGCTATTAGACCAAAGAAATTATGAAATAAGATTTCACAAGAAGAGTAGTAAATAATAAGCTGGAACTAGAAAGATGAGGAATTCTTTGAGAAGAAAAAGCACGAAAACTTGTATATCTGCACCTCTTAGTAAGTGCAAGGACATGCCTCTTAAAGGTACAGTTGCGTCCATTATTAGTGGAGTGAAAGGAATACTCTGTACAGTGCAAATGTCCCATAACAGTGCTAATGGTGTATTTCTAAAGGTATTCTAAATGTTTAAAAACCTCAAGCTGCAGTAAAGCTTAAAACCTAAGCACCAAGTATTGTGGCCCCCTAACAATGTTCCCTGTTGACCTTGTGGATTTCTTGGCAGGAAGCTGGTGGAGAATTAAAGCTGCTTTAGAAATGACACTGACTGCTCTCACTTGTTCTCCTCCACAGGAAAACTGTGTCAGTGGTGGCTGAGGGATAAGGAAGAGCAGTAGGAGACTGGCAGGCTCCTGTGCCAACTCCTTTGTGCCACTTCGGCAGAGGTTCCTGTTCGTAATTTAAACCCCTGCTACGAGGGCTGGTAGAGCATAAACATTTCTGTGGTTTTTACAAAGCCTAATTAAAATGAGTTTGCATATAAGTGATTCCTCTGGTGTTTCTTTCAAAAGACAGTGTTCAAGTAAAGGTCTTATTTTTGTGGAAACAAGTAGAACAGCCATAGTGAGAGGCTTTTTGTAAATATGTATTAAGATTATGCCACTTTCATAAGCAACAATACTAGATAAGTGATAATTCTGTAGACTTTCAGTGCTGTCACTTAGACAAGAGCAACTGCTTCATCATAGCAGGAAATCAAACAGGAAGTGTTCAACCCCTAAGGGTAACCTAGGAGTTGAGCTGTTGAAGTATGATTGGTAGACCAGATTGTTAAAGAGAGAGTTCAGTCAGACCACATAGGTAGATGCACTCCAAACCGAACCATTTAGAGTGAGCAGTCTTCTCAGAAGTGAAATAGTATGGAAAACACTTGGTTTTGAAAACAAACTACTCTGTTTAAATTAACATTTTTTCCTTAAATATATTATACATATTTTACAAACATCTGGAATTCCTAGTCTTTTAAAGCTCTTACAATTTCCCTATGAAGAGACATCAATAAGAAACAAAACCATCTTCTAGGATTCATATGTAAAAATGTCTTGCATGCCAGTCATCTCTAGGATTTGCTGCATTTGTTGTTAGGAAGACTGCTGATGTGTGTAAGTGGATCCATTTCCAGGGCTTTAGAATCACAGAACCCAGGTTGGAAGGGACCTCAAGGCATGTTCAATAAAGGTAGGTTACTTCAGTAAAAGTTACGTATTGGAAACACACAGAAGCATTTAGAAATACTGGGGGGGGGGGGGGGGGAAACACCCTTCCTTAGTGGGACCTGAATTCAAGGTGCTATTTTTCTCACTGCAGTTGTCACTGGAATCTCTGATCTTAAAAACACCTGATTCATTGCTTTCTTAGAGGATATCATTACAGTGGCAAAAAAAATCAAAATCAAAATCTGCTACTCAGCATATGAAAAAAAATATTTGCTATATTTTGATTCTTTTTCTGGTGGTAGGAAAAAATAAAATCACTAATTACTGAGTTCCTTAGGTAGAAAGTTAATGATTTTTTAATCTGCAGGAGAGTTAACATCACAGTCTTCATATAGAATCTCCAGATAAAGTCTGCTTCCAACGATATGCTGAAAAATAATGTGAAATAAAGTGAAGGGTAATCTTGTTAGTCTAGTGATTTGTGGTGCAGATTCTTGCTGTATGTTACTGCTAACTTTCCTTCAGCAAATTTTTAAAAAGCCATGATGAAAATCTATTGCTGATCTTAAAAACTGTAGTTAACCTCTGGGACTCATGTTTATCTTCTGTTCAAACACAAATATTAGGAAATTGTCTGTAATTAAGCTACCCAGAGTTCTTTGAGTGGAAAATGCTAGGCAAGCCTGAGCCAAACCTACTAGAACCAGTGGGAAAACGAGATGCAATAGGCTTTGGATTGGTTCCTCTAACTGCAGAATACAGCTGCAATTTGCCTATAAAAGACAATAAAACTTGCAATAGGGAGCTGAATCATCAGGTAATTCACAGGTCCAATTTTAAGAATAAGTTTCTTGCAAGCTCAGAGAAGTCTTCAGAATAGTAAAAATAATTACTCCAAGCCTTGACTTTCAGGTCTTTTCTTGGGAGAGAAATATAAAGTACACAGGTTATTTATAGCAATATGTGATTTTTATTTCCTGTGTTTCATGAAACATGAATTTCTCTATTTTTTTTTAGAGTTACTAAATAACACATACTTCTGGAAGCAAAGATTTTTTTTCCTGAAGTATTTATTTCTTTTCTGAACAGGCTGAGACATTTCTCTTGACACCTATCAAGCTGACTTGGAAAACAATATTGAAAACAAAACCTCCAAAATTATATATACCAGGATTAGAGGCATAACAAATAATGTGGAGTAATGCATTCAAAATTAGAAGGAATTGTTTTACTTGAGACTAGCAGATGGCAAATAGAGTTCAATGTAGAGAAATGTAAGGTAATTGAAGTTGAAGGAACTAAATAATCTGGGGAATACCTGCTAAGTGGAACAATCATCCAGCACAGTGATCAAGAAAAAGACTTGGGGATTATAGTGGAAAGAATTGTTAAAACCATGATCCCATTGAACAGGTTCAGTAAAATAGACAAATTGTGTATTAGGTTGTGTTAGAAAAGTGAAAAGTTTTAAGATCAAGGAAGGGTACAGTGAGCACTTACTAAAAGCTACCAAAATTGCTGAATACTCTCATAAAGCCGCCTTTTGAAACTGCAATACATTTACTAAAATAACAGACCAGGCTGTTGAGCCCTCCTTTGGTTATTCTGTTAGTTAAATTTATTCTGTCATCCAAAGCTGGGATACGTTCCTTCAGTGGTTTGTGCTCTAAGAAAGTACATTGGGCTTGCTGCTCTTTTCCACCCATAGGCCAACAAATAAAGATTTAAATGATGTGGCTGGTTTTGTTGTTGTTTTTGTTTAGAATTCCGGATTTTGGGCTGGATCCAAAGTTAAGTGTAGTCTGAAAGGATATTCTCCCTGCAATTTAGTTGGTCCTACTTTGATCACTTGTGCCTGTTGCAGAGGGGAATTTGTAAGCAACTGTGAAGCTATTCTGTGTGTGCTCTAGAGTTTGGAATGGAATTGTATTTGTGATTCTTTGCATGTAATTTTCAGATTGGCATGAGGACTGCTGGTTTGAAGTTGTTTGTTGAGACAGCTTGCAGGAGATTGCAGTGTCTTCATTAATTACCTGTAACAAAACATTCTATAACATAGGGACTGAAGGAATTTACAGTTTGATAATTTGAGAGTTTCTTAGCAAAAACCCTCCATAATTTCCTAAAAATGCTAAATTTTAACTTACCTCATTTCCAAGTTATGTGTAGTTCCAAGACACTTAAATAGATGCATTTATAAAGGCTTTTGAGCCTGCTAGAAAACAGGGAGGGTCACACGCATGGTACGTTTTAAAATTTCTTCTACCCTCAGCCTGAAATAGCTTTTATGCCTTTGAAAGGTTCTTTTGCAAGTAATGGTTGGGAGCAGGTTATTGTGTTGTGCTATGTTAAGCAAGTCTGATTTGTTAAGCAAGTCTGATTTATTAAGCACTGAAGGAAGCAGGTCTCTGATTCTCAATTGGCTGTGATTACAGAATAGCACACTATCAGAAGCTAACTGAACTACAGAAATACTCAGAGAGGAAAGGATGGAGCAGTTAAAAGTTGTTCCAGAGAGGAAACCTTTCAGAAACTGAAAGGACAATCAGAGAAGTTTTAACTGGCACTGCATTGTTTTATGTATATAAGCAAGAGGAAGACAGTCAGAAAATAGCTGGTATCTTGAATAAGACTAGCTTGGCTCTTCTGTGGTGTTTAAATAGCTTTGATTCATGCAAAGATAGACAAGTGAAACTGCTGTCCATCTGAAAGTGAACATGATTGATACCTCTTTTAGCAGTGTCTGAAAGAAAGTCAATAACTTTGCAGAGTTTCTCTTGCATAAAACACCCCCCACCCCCACCCCATCATTTTAATGCTGCATTTATGGTGAGGGACAGGTGTGTTCTTCAGTGTGTCCTAGGGTCCTAGTCCTGAAATGCCAAGTGAAGGAACTGGAGTGCTTTTATGTCCTCCAGCACGTCCTCCTGGAGTTCCTCTCCTTCCAAGACCAGTGTTGCAGGCAGGGTGTCTCTCTAGAACAGAGCAGCTTAGTGCTTCTTCATCTACTGGATTAGATAGTGTCACTACAGTCATTGCTAAGAGTTAGTATCTTGCCTGGGAGTTAAGGTGTTACTCTTGGAGTAGTTTTACACAATAGGGTCACTCATACTGACAGCTAGCTTGGATTCTAGCAGAAACGTAATGTTTACCTAATCTGCTGTCCAGACTGATTAGCCCCACAGGGTACCTGTTTTTTAGCAGAGAAATTAGACCCCATGGCTTGAAAGTTTGAAACAAATGATTTGAACACCAGCTAATCTGTATCGTGCAACACTGGTGTCACAGCTGTCTGTAAAAATATACTGCTAATAGCAGAAAGGGCTTTGCATACCGTACATCAGCCCAGCTTTGCATTTTAACTGGAGCTCTGCATGCAGCGTTCATTTATTGAGGTGACCATGATAGCCTTAGGCTCCTGGCTAATAAGTGCAGTTTCTGCAGGTATTGCTAGTGTCATAAAGAATACATGGTGTCATATATAAAACCGGGTTTTGGCCATTGTACTGTTGAAAATACTTAATCTTTGTGCTGGGTTCTTTGTTACAAGATACTTTTTTTTATTTTTTTTTTTCATTAGCTGTGCACAGCACTGAAAAATTCAGAGTCATAGCCAATTCTTGCCAGGTTTGGATTACTCAAATGTGAGAATATCAACTCTATGCAGGTCTGTTGAAAGGCAGTGCAGGGTATATGCTTGAATTTCAGACATGTTTATGGATTCAGTTTCATAAATACCAAAAGAGATGTGCTTTTTGTGCTAGGAACAAGTGAGTATTGTACCTGAGGATTAGAGCTGATGTGTGAACAATTTGCAGTGGTGAATAAAGATGTCATTTTTGAGGTCTTGTGTAGAGTACTGTTATATGTAGGACTCCTTTGGTATCCAGTCAGCTGCTTCAAAGAAAGCAAAAGCACTTGATCCATGAGCCTATCAGTCCCGGGGGTCTTTTGAATCTCTTGAGGACGACGTTCCGCTGTTCTCAGTTCAATAATTAATGTCTTTTCTTCCCACTTCTCATATGCTTGCATACTTCTGAGGTGGCAGAGCAGCCCAAGAAATCTTGGTTTTGTTAATAAGACTATTATATATATATATATATATATATACACACACACATATATATATTCCATGTGAAATAAGACTTTTTTAATATATATATATTCCATATGAAACAGACAATGGTATTTTTAATGCTCAAGGTTATTATTGCTGTTACTGAATCTTAAGAGGTAACAGAAAAAAGCCAAAGCCTCTCTCCCCTAACATAAATGGAAGTACAGTACTTCATTCTTGCCTTTAGGTCATCTCACTGTCCTTACCAAACTTTAGAAGGGCTGAACAGCATAGAAATAAAAGTACTGTTTCACAAGAGAGTTTAAATGAAGGCATAAACACGTCTCCACAGTCTGATTTTCAGGGCTTATGGCACAGCTTGCAAACAGGACAGCATGGTTTTGGGTGTGTCCTGGATCAGTCATGGGATAGAGGAAACTTCAATGCAAAAAATACGGATTTCTGTCAAGGGCCAGTTCTGATTCAAGAATGGTGACAGGATTTTTGCAACAGCTTTATTGGCTTTGAAGGCTTATTTACCTAGGGCAAAGCTGCCTGCCATCCCAAGAGTTTGTTTGCAGCTCCCTCAGGAGGTCTGTGGAGCTACGTAGTCCTCTTTGCTCTTCTCAACATCAGTCACTGAGCATATAGAAGGCAGTAGCTGTGGATTGCACCTTTCAGAATAACGAGCTGAAAGATTGGTCACACTTTTTTCTTTTAATTGTAAAAATAATTGTATAGCCCCATGGTTAATGTCTGGCCAGGTTTCTGAGGGAGAGTTTTCACTACTTTTAATTGAGACTGTTTGGACCTACCAGAAGTTATATCAGCTACAAAGGAAGCTAAGCCCCAAGACAAAAACTTGCTTTAAGAGTCAAAACTCTGGGAGGGTTTTATACCTGACATTTCTCTTCTGAATACCTGTTTAGAGAGAAAGGCTGACTTGTGTGTAGTGGTTGTGTGAGAGCTGGTTTATGAAAGCATAAAAAATGATTAAATAATGCAATAATTACTTGAAGATAGTTAGAAAAAAAAAAGATGACATGCCTCTTGCTGGTTAAAACCTTTCCTATTACAGCTTCCTCTGTCTTCCCCAAACTCACTAATGTTGCTACTGTCTTGTGAGCTTGATTGGTGAACAGAGAAGGATTTTCACAACAAAGTACTTGAGATCTAGGGTTCAGAGGGAATCTGGATGAATTTGCATTTTAATTCATGTTTTTGTTAGGAATGACTCCCTGCTATTAGGTCACATGATGGGAATGTCCTGATACTGAGTCCTAGTTTCACTTCTGATGAATTGCTGCAGATTAAATGTTGCAGAGAAGGTAGGTGTTCCAAACTGAATTCCTCCTTCTCTGTAAACGTATAGTAGATTAGAGATATAGACCAATGGTGAAATATACCGGTTAGGTTATTTTGAGTTCTCTGCTACACAGGTACTTAGTGATTTAATAAACATATATGCATGGTACGTGTTGTATGTTCATTCTCTTATTTCAGCTGGCAGCTCTAACTAAATTAGATGTCAAGCACCTGCTGTTTTCTCATCTCTATTACAACAGTTTGACATTCTGGGCCATCTCTCTAAAAGTATTCAGAAATGAATATATCATAATTAGCTTGTCATAGATAGTGCCAGTCTTAAGGAAAGGAAAAGTAAGTCAAAGAGAACAAATCACAAATTGACAAAGAAAACAAGAAAAAAACCCACCAAAGCTCCCTAAAGTTCCCAAGTACAGTGGCTTGGCTGCTCCCTGGCAGGGGAAGCTCAGCAGGAACTTGCATTCAAGTTTCATCTAATCATTGCTGCTGCTGTCACTCCACAGAGCAAAACCTGCTTTTGAACCAATTGCAAAACATCACAAGTAGATTGCTAACACATAGAGGTCTGTACAAATGTCACCAGAGAATATTCTGCAAAGAAAATGAATTACACGTTTTAATTTGAAGTCTTCCCCTCTTGTGGACAACTTTGCATTACTGCCATAGTCATGGCAAACTCAGTGCTTTCCCATGGCTTTACAACAGCACCTGTTTCTCTATCAGAAATGTAAAATGCAAATGTAAAATTCAGCAGACAGAAGTGGTAAGATGTTTTGGATTTGTAGCATATGTTTTGCATCTGTGATGGAGATGACAATGGGATACTCACTGGAATCTTTGAATAAGTAGTTCTGTGCCTGTTGTTGCAATGGTGTGCTTACTCTGAAGTGCTTATTATAGTATGTTAGGAAGCCTAAGCCCACCAGTGAGTCTGAAAACTGTCACTGTGCACCAGACAAAATGCCATGTAGTCCAGAGCCTAGTGATTCCCTCACTCTGGTAATTGTCTCAGTAGAACATGAAACTTAAAGCTTAATATCTCTTGCTTCCAAACCTGGTACTTGCATTAGAAGAGTTGTTTGATGGGCATTATTGGAACTACTACTGTTGAACTTATTGTAATAAGCATGTTTAATATGCTTTAACCAAGAGGTTTATCAGCATGAATAAACACTGGAGTTACTACCCTCCCCAGTCTTATGATATTTTTTTATTAGTATTTTATTTTTTGAATACTGTTGATTCCTGTCTGATGGATGTAGTGTAGTGTCTTTCACCTACCCAGGCAAGATGCAGCCTGAGTGAGAAAAGACTTGCTGAGATTTACTTTTGGAAAAAATACTGTTTTGTT